TGGTTTTTTTATTTGAGGATTTATAAGTACAGTTGTCGCTCGTTGACATGACTTTTCAGGCTCAACTTCCTCTCTTTGTCCTTTGTGCGCTCGTTTATGCAATCCGATGATGCCGTATATCTAGGAACATTGTTTCATGCCTGTAGTTTGGCTTTGAAGTCTATCTTTTTGTGACACGGGTCCTGCGACTTTTCTGACACACCTCATATATGTTCAAGCCGATTGCAGGCAAGTATTCTCTCGATACGCAATCGCGGAGCGGATGCAAAACGCAGGGCAAATGTGGCTGGACATGAAATCAAAAAGCAGAGCAATACGCAGGACGTGATTAAATAGTTTCGCTAGCCGGGAGAAAGAGAAAGAGATGATTTGGTCAAACAATTGAGGTGCAGCAACAAGTGCGGACTCCTTTCGTGCAAGACATTAACAGAAATGTCATGAGACAAGATTAGATAAATCACAACAATGTAAAAAAAAAAAAAAAATGTCTATCTTCCTTTTGTGTGAAGATCCATCCATCAATCCGTTCGTTTTGTACGGTATATCGCTTATCCTGTTCAGGGTCTCAATTTCATTTGTCTTGGGGCAAAAGGAGTGGCTGACTCCCATTTACACCATCACTGAGTAGGAACTGGAACCAACGCCGCCTGTGCCAAAGTCAGGTAAACCCACCGCTACACAGTGACCTGTGTGAAGATTATTCGACCCCAAAAAAAAAAAAAAAAAAAGAAGTCGACGTGTTTGTTACTCAGCGAACCACATAAGTCTGGAAATGAATCACAGCACCAGTTCTGAACAGCCTGCCACAGTTTTACACGTTATCTGAAGTCATGTTGCCTTCATTGAATTTCTGTAGAGGCACGCGGAGCCGGCAGTTTGATCGGTGATGTTTGATGCTACTGTGACACTTGGTCGAAATTATGGGCGGGGGGGCAGAGCTGACCGAACCGCACCCATTCAAGTGGAAAATTGTGCTCACGAAAGGATCGCCAAAATCATCCATCCGCGATAACCGTCTCTGGACTTTGAAGTTGAAATCCCCTTCCGCTTTATTCCATTTAATTCGGTTGAAATTCTACCTTATGGGGCAAATATGCCCCGGGTTAACTCATTTGAAGGTACAACGTACAAAAAGACAGAAATGGGTCTTTTCTTGTTTCATCACACTGCATTTTTTTTTCTACTTGGTGGAACGTAAACCGACGACAAAAAAGTTTCAGCTGAAGGGTCAGTGCACAACTGTGTTAAAAAATGTAAACAAGGAGACCAACAACAGCTTTGCGCTGATTGTTTTCGGATTGGAATCGCAACTCACTTTTATTTTGACGGGGTGCCTCACTTTACAGGACTAACCTTGACTGTGATTGTTCCTGCGCTTGACTGAATAGAATCGATCCATCCGTCCATTATCATAAAAGCAAAGCCATAAGGCCGCTGTGGTTGTTTCAAAGCTGAAATGCGTCACATCTTATTAATTAAACACCTTCGGCATGGAAACGCAGAGCTGATCAACTTGAAGTCGCCTTGGAATACAAAGTTGCACCACAATGCAGATTTTTGTCCGTGGCGATAGGTAACCGGAAAAGGTGAAGAATCGAATACAAGAGACTCAATTAGGGAGAAAAATGTGACAGACTGTTATTTAGTTTCTTTTGGACTGGAAGCTCTCATGTGTGCTCCCCAAGATGGACAATTTCCAGAACATTGCTGGTTAGTTTCCATAGAAATTTAGGCTTAGGAATTTTGGAAAAATTCCAAATTGGAATTTGTGAGAATTTACGGGGGTAATTTAATGGAAGGTATGATAATTACGCATACAATAAATACAATAAGTTTTCTCATAAGTAAGCAGCCATGCATTGCAGTATATTAATTGCTCCATTTTTTTTTTGCCACTGGCAGCGGCATATCTCCAGCTCCCTCAAACATCAAATTTTGGCTTGCAACACAAAGCAAAAAAATCCAACTTTTTTGAAGTACCCTATCAAGAGCCAACTTCCAATTTTTTTTAAAGTCCTACTTTATTCGTATAACTTCTCGTTCCATCCCACTGACAGATTCCCACTTTGAAAATTCTCACCATTTTGCAACCCCAGTGTTCCCCCCAAAAACTTATTAAACCCATGCGCCACTCAGGGCCTATTAAAGTTCCTTTGATGAGCTCTTCCTCAGCATGTGTCCTTGCCGTCTCCATAACTGTCCCTCAACCGTCCTTCTAATCAGTCAAGCTTGAAATGTGGGCAGCACAACACAGACCCGAGCGACACCAAGACAAATAGCAGTGTATCCATTAACTTGTCAGCATCACAGACAAATAAAATCTCTCTCAAATCCTAATTGGAATCAAGTTTTGTGATCAAAAGTGAAGCCGCTGACCAGTGTTGAGGGAGGGCCTGATGAAGATTGACTCATAAATCCCGTTCAACCATTAAGCGCGGCTTGTCCTCCAATGAGTGACTTTGACTCCTTTTGATCATCACGGCGGGGAATCTTGACAGCGCCGTGACCTCTCTCGACTGATTGAAGACCATGATTTTTAAACGCCGAGTGAAGGACGCTATAGAGGTTGGCCACGAGTCATTGTTATTCAAAGTCACCTGGACTTAAAACTATAACCTTCACCGGCTTAAATATAATGAGCGTTTGAAAAGATTGCGATCCATTTAAGCCATAAATGGGACTTATTTTCAAAGCATGGGACGGTTACTGTTTTTACGGGTTTTTAAAATGTCCATTCATCCGTCCATTTTTAACAGCACTTATCCTGAACAGGGTCGTGGGGAGTTATCCCAGCAGACTTCGGGCAGAAGGCAGATTAAACCCTGAACTGGTCGCCAGTCTGTCGGAGGGCACATAGAGGCAAACAACCATTCACACGCACATCGACACCATCACTGAGTGGGAAGTGGTTCGGAAAATGGATGGATGTATTGTTTTGAAACGGCTAAAACTACCCTTTTTTTTTTTTTCCTTTGCCAGTCAAAGTGACGCAAGTAGTCAGGGAGCCCAACGGATTTTCCCCGAGTTGAAAAAGTCGACTCTTTTGGTAATTTTTTTTTGGGGGAGGGTACCACATTTTGCTTCTCAAGAAGTGTTGCTCGAGGTGGCAATTATTTTAATACGTTATCGCATTTACGAAAGAGCCACGCAACACCACTCAACAGATTCAAGGTAATGTTATTAAATAGTGACAATCTTGTCTTGAAATTAATATTTGCACCCAGCTACGAGATTAAGCGTGTCGACAATTGGTGAAATAGATACCATAGACTCACTACAGAGGAAGATAATTAGCTATCTAGCTGGGCTAACATCTCTTCATTGCCACTCAGACGTTACTTCACATGGCAGAGAAGATAATTTTCTGAGAAAGAAATATTTTAAGTATAATAAGTGCACGTTTCAACTGTGTATTTTCTTTACTAATGTACCGGTAACTGTGATCCTGAATTATAGAAATATGCATGCCTTATTTCCACTGCAAAGTGCATTTGTGCCGTAGTACTTTGCCAGCTGGAGTTCAAAGTGTGAAGAGTGGCTACTGAATGGTTGAATGTATTGTCTGGGTTTTTTTTCCCTGAGGTTTAAAATGCGAGGAAGAGCAACAAATTTTGCCCATGCATCTAAAACCACAACCATCACATCACAACATGTGATGTGGTGTGAAACAACCTTCTAATGGGTCATTGTTGCTTCAGCAACACGAACGCTGACCAACAGTCCAATCCTCATTGTGACTCATCAATAACAAACAACCACCACATCGCCTTTCCAGATGGCCGTCCATTTGCCTCAGAGATTGTAATGTCACAGCCATTATGAAAAGCACAGAACCCGGAAACAAGATGCATAGCGTTCATTTCAAACGGCCTTTCTAAACAAGCGCAAAAGCATCTTTCCATTCACGAACCGGCCGGGCCTACGGGAGTAGTCATGCGCTGCCTTCTGCAGCCGGACAGCCGCGCTCCTAACAATGTGTACGACTCAGCACCAGTAACCAAGCAGAGAAAGAGACGTGTTGCGATGCTTCCCTTAAGAAAACAATGCAGTCAGTTCTACCTGAAGGCGAATGCTTCCACCCCATCACTATGTTCCGGGGGACAAAGACACTCTCTGATATCCTCCGAAGGGTGTTTGCTAGCATCTGTCTCTCAGAGGACACTTGCCACCTCCAGCAAAGAATAAAAGCCTGTGCACGGTGTCAACAAAGAGAATCCCTAATGAGCCCAAGTTCCATGTGGTGGTTGAGTTCCTGGTTGGAACTCAAAAAGAAAAGACGGCATTCTGTCAGACGTTTAGATGACCTCCGACTCCTCTCTGGATGTGTTTTACTTCGATTTGGCATCATGGAACGCTAATTAATTGGGCTGGTATTTTGAGTGGAGTAAGTCTACATCACTGCCTTCATGACACGAGTCGGCCACACGTTTGACACTGAGAGGCTTAGGGAGCCTCCGGAACTCGGTCTGCATGACATGTGTGACTCCTGAGGCGTGCATGTTACGAAATGTGCACAGACAGCGAGACTGTCATGACCCACTTCCATGGAGAGCTGCGCCGCTTTCTACTGCAATCCCACAGGTAGGCTTGCCCTGACTGACTGTAAAATATACACTCTGGAAAGGCTTACATCGTCCTGTCACCACACAACTGGAGGGCAAAGATGGAGGAGGATGTTTAATCTCCAGCTCAAGCAACTGACGAGAGAAAGCTATTTCTGGAGAAACAGCACGCTGATGCAGAACGGCAGAATGAAGTGAGATGTTGAAATGGTATGCCGTGAGACTCGGAATGGATTGAATCGCTCTAGAAATCTGGATGGAGAGGATAAATCTGTATGATCTTGCTCTGGAATTTGGTGGATTTTATTCTTTTCAGGAAAATGGGGGAATTCTGGCAAAGGGTGTAGTTCATGAGACACCCTGAATGAGCAGAACATGACCCCTTTGTGCTTTCTTTAATAGCTCTTCATTGCTTTTATGAAAATTGGAGAATCTGGGAATGGGAATAACGGCCAAGATTTCCTGCGTAATCATTTGAAGTTGGAATTGTGCGAATCAGTCCAGAAATGTGGGGAGAAGAAGGAATTGATGTATTTATGAAGGTATGTATGTGTTTATGTTCTGTGAATTGTGTTATTAAAAGTATGGCATTTTGGAGAAGTGAAAATGTGAAAATTAGTACTCAAGATGTTTGGAATGAATGGAAAAGTCTGAAGTTTCAATAGGAAATGTTGACTTTGTCATTGGGCTGAATGTTTTGTATTTGTGTGTGTGTGTGTGTGTGTGTGTGTGTGTGTGTGTGTGTGTGCGTGCGTGCGTGCGTGCGTGCGTGCGTGTGTGTGTGTGTATATATATATATAAAATATATATATATATAAAATATATATATTGGGGGTGTAGAATAACATCAGTATGGAGCTGCAGCAGTCACTCAACGAATGAGCACAATTCTAAGTATTTCAATTGGCCTCAAGTCATTCGAAAAGGTTTCACCCTAATACGGTGGCAAGCGATCCTTATCTTTCAGCCCTCGAGTAATTCAGTTTGGGGTGGAATTAAAAGTGACGTCTGTCTGGCTGCCTGGTCAGCTTGTTATCCAGTGGCACCAAACCCAGCTCAGGATAAGAGTGCATTCTACATGACATAGGCTTTCCAAAAGCCCCTTGGCAGAGAAATAACAAACGCGGTGGTGTAAAATGCGATGCTACTTTGTCGAGACCCACTTCAAAATAAGCATAGGAAATAGTCGAGCAAGATGTCAGCGCGGTTTATTTCCAATTACGCACGGGATACAAACACAATGACAATACTGTTTACGCACAAAACCCTACTGGTTATTTCCAATAAACAGTAAGCACTTAATGCGATAACAAGTGGAAGGCTGCCCCCCAGCCCCCCCTACTCACCCATCACATGCTGCGGGACAGCGGCGCTCACGCACAGGGCGATGGAGAGGAGGAGCGGTCCCATCCTCTCACAACGAGAAGAGACGTGCTTCTTGGGCAAAGATGGGAGAGAATGGGAGGAACAAATCACGACGAGATCAACTCAAAGTTGTCCCTCCGTCACCCCCCGCGAGAGAAGTGGAGCGGATAAATATGTCCTGTTTGATAAAGTCCTCTTCTGTGGTGGAGCGGAGTGGAGAGACGCGCCGGAACAAGTGGCGTGAGGGTGCCAGGTGCCTGCTTGGCCCGTTACTACCGCAGTGAGTGGAGACGGAGGTGAGTGAGCGCTCGCAACTCGCCAGGACCATCATCAAGTAAAATACAGAGGCAAGCATTTCCGGTCATGCCCTACAAAATTAAAGTCGTGGAAAAATCTGCAAATCCAGTCACACCATCTGTGGAGGCAGACTCAAGGTTTGACCAAGGACATATTTGTTTGATATTCTCATCAATTTTGGACTTGAAATGACATTTAGTAGTTATTTTATACTGCTGTTCTATGATATATTTTGTTTTGCCATGTATATTTTTGCTATTTTTGGTGCAAACCTCATCAAGATACTTAGGCACATGAAAATAAAGTAGTTTACAGTTTTCTACTTTTTACTTCAATACAAATAGAATTGTAGAGATACTCAAATTTCACTAACGGAGTTGCAAATCAATGCTGTGGTTGCAATTGTACATGCTAGCTGTGTTAGCTGCTAGGCTAATTGGTCGAGAACAAACTTAGCTTTATAATAAAAAAAGAAAAGCTTTGATATTAATATCTTTATAATAATTTTTGGTATGAGTGATTGCTGGTTGAAGACACTAAAATGGGTTTTCTTTTTTTTTTAATTAGCAGTTAAAAGTAAAGTTACTCCATTCGATCCATTTCAAACATCAAGGTTCACGTTCCAATTCTGTGTTTTTGTCAGTCTTTAAAAACCCCACTGAACCCATCTTGCAATACTACTCTCACTATGGCATCACCAGTGCACTGCTTTGTTTGTTTACGCTGAATAGTGTCTGTGTAAATAAATGCCAGCGGGTGAATTCAGAAAGTGGTTCACTGTTTAGTGTAACAGTAGCATGACGACATTCTCATTGAGTGCAGTGAGCGGCCATGCGATAGATGTTGAGACGTTACTACCTGTGCTGCCTTCCCATTGGCATGGTCGCATCTTTCTATCTCTGTGCAGTCTATATATCACGGTGAGACCAAACAGCGGCTTTGTAACCCCCATGGGGGAAACATCAGTGTAGACGACGTAAAAGTCTCAATGATGGAGACGACTTCTCCACTCTCTCCTCCTCTGCAGCGCACAAGCTCGACAATGGAAGGTGCTGAATCAGTCTCTGCTGATTTGCTTTTTGAATCAGTCTGTTCAGCCTTGCTCTAACCTCTTTTCGTGCCCTGCAGTAACACGTTCAAGCCCGGGGAGCCGGGATCACTGGATTTTGATTTTTCCCTAGAAAGCTCCCTCACTCACGCAAATGTGTGGGCTGAGCATGCCGACCTATTTACTCTCTGTCATGTAGCTGGGTAACAGTCATACAAGATCTCGACTGTTTTATAACATTGTCAAGAATCAACAACCGACATGTGGTTGTACAACTGCGCACACCTTCTTATAAGTGGGCACGTAGATGTGTTCAGAATGAAGGAATCACTTTCCAAGTCATATTAAAATGGACTCAGCGCATACTTGCCCCCATTTAAAGTGCCTTAGATTAATCTCAAATAAAATTCAGCTGTTCAAGGAGGCTTTTTTTTGTTTGATGACAAGTCCCCAATATCTGTCGCTGTCATTTGTCTTCATATTTTTGCACAAATTGAGTCTCAGATCCCATCTTGTAGACGATTGGAATAAAATGAAACTGGCCTCGTCGTAGGACAGCATCCACATGGTTAACTTTGATTTCCGTGCAATGCGTTCATTTGCAGACAGCACAGTGGACTACTAATACTAGTTCCCACTTCTGAATTTCGGGATTCGAATCTTGGATCCTGCCTCCCTGTGAGGTATTTGCGTATTCCTCCTACATTCCAAGATTAATCGAGGACTCAAAATTAGCCATGATCTAGTTTTGAAGAAATTACACGATGGTCTTCAGGATTCTGATTAATGATGCAAAGTGAAATGTATCCTGCTGTCAACTAATACAGATATAAAAGATAAACGTCCATGATAATGTTCATTTGCATAAGGTGTTTCTTCACAGGCCATTGTATGACTTTAGAACCGAGGAGTTCAGCGATTCTGACAGTTGTACTTTCGCTGTTCCAAATTTACACGGCCATTAACTTACAACGGGCACTGTAATTAAAATTGAGATCACACGCAGTCATTACGGATAGACTTCTTTATGTATTATGATAATTCATTGCCTGCCGGATGCATTATTTACCATAATTGACACAAAAGACGATGCAGTACAGATTAAGTTTGCACACCCTGACACCTGATTCGTGAACTTGACTGTATGAATCCGGAACTGGATACGTTAAACCATCCCGTGTGAGGGATTTCGTGAAATCTGTTAGATTAGTGAGCAAACTCACAGGAATATCCGAACACTCTGTCTTTTTCCACAGGGCTTTGACCGTGGAGGACATCATCAGCCAACATCGCACAGTTATCAGTCTGACCTTGAGTTATACACACCCTGTGCTTCATGAATCATGAAAGATATCGGGTGTCCTTTTGTTTAATGCAGATATAGACCTCTAACTTTATGCAGTTAGTCAAGTCTTATAAATCATCCCTGTTGGCCAGTTGCGTTTCTTGGCATCTTATTGCGATACCGCCTTCTGTTCCTGCAATCATCGTTTCATATATAATCAGTCAGAAAACAAGGTCTCAGTTTCTCTCGCTAATTACAAATAACCTTCCTGATGCGATTGGTTACAATCCACTGAGGATATGATCAGCATGGGGGGGAACTACAGGATTTCTTCAGAGTACAAAGTCTTTGTTAAGACGAGGATTAAGGAAGTATTGTTTAGCCGGCATAAATATGGGTTGACTCTGCAGTTACAAGCAAGAAGATAATGCTCTCTGGACGTTTGCTTCCAAAGGAGTCAGAAAAATGACCTTTAACCCCCTTCCACTCTACACACCGAGTATAGTCCCTCAGCTAGCCACACTAAATCCTTCATGGTCGTTTATCTGAAACATCAGTCCTTCCTCTTACCCAACTTTCCTCGTCTTGTTTGCCCTTCACTTGCTTTTTCTTTTTTTTTTTTTTTCTTTTTTTTGGAGTGGCTGAACTCAGACCACTGAGTCCTGCACAGCTCACATCCATCCTCATTAGGATCCACGGAGACCCGCTTAGGATGAGCAACGGGCTGGAAAACACAGTGACCTTCTCATATTTGATTCATTTACGATTTTTTTTTCTTCTTTTATTTTAGCCACTGAGATGTGGTTCAAAAATTTGGGAGTCGACGGGCCACCCCGTCTGACGCTAATGCTTCCCCTTGAAGGAGGACAAAGACTTTATTCGATCAACCGGGTAGAGACAGGGGTTAAGCATCTACGAGGCAAAAAAATGGTCTCAAATTAAAACTTGACGGTGAACCGAGTAGGCATTCCGACTGAGTATGTACCATTACCACAAGGCTTTATTACATGTCATGCCCTCAACATTTCCATAACCGCAAAATTAATGAGGTTAACCTCTTCAAAACAGCCAGTAAAGGGGATAAGCACTTTCTCCCCCTCTTTTTCCTGTTAGCGATTCAATCGGCTTTTCACTCCTCCCCTCCACCGCTCAGTGGACCTGAAGAGGTTTTTTTTTTTTCTCAATCACTCTATCTCACTCTCATCTTCCATGTCTGCAGGTTCTCGTCCCTCCCAATCAGACTTCTCGGCTCGAGTCTTGTTTCTCCCTCTCTTTATACTCGCCACAAAGAAAGTCTCACAAAAGCCCAAGGCAAGGCAAAGGGAAAGTTTGCTGCTGCTTCTGCTGCTGCTTCTGGCGGGAAGGAGCAGGATGGAAACAGAAGAGAGGGATGAAGAGAGCGAGAGAGACAGAGAGAGCGAGACAGAGAGAGAGAGAGAGAGAGAGAGAGAGAGAGAGAGAGAGAGAGAAAGAGTGTGTGTGGGACGTGGTAAGGAAGTCAAGCAAGACTAAATGAGATGCTCTTGGAGAAAAGACATTGAATTAATTCCAAAGAGAATATTGCATTGTATCATATTTTCCCATCGGCCCTTAACTCTGGGACACACAGCGGAGTTATGTTACCCAATGTAAGCGTCTATATTTTTCTCCCCCACTCTTCCGCTCATCCCGGACCGCTGAGCTGCCTGGCGTCGGCGTCGACGTCTCAAATTTTCCTCAGCAAACACTTTGCTACCGTCTCAGTGCTATCGTTAGACAATCGCTGGCAGGATTTCCGTCTTTGAAAGGCAGCTACAACAACATTTGATCATCCAATCAGCTTTCTCGATATTGCATTGAATCCAAAGTGGTCTTTGCGTTTCAAAGATATTCAGCAGATTTGATACGGAACGTTTTCCAGAATCCGGTGCCAGTGTGCAAGCATAATAACGATGGTATGTCCCGGTGTAATCCATGTAATGTCTCGACCACCGCCGTGACTAAATCAAGAATTTGTTGGTGGCCTCAGACGCTGGAAACTTTTAATAATTGTCTGGAAATGTTGAGAAGTCCATTTTACTCTTCTGAAGTTCCATTTTGTGGCATTGTGTCAGTTCAGTTCATTTGCCGTTGACGTTTTAGGGGCTAATTAAGTGGGACGTACGCATTTTTGTTTTTAAAAGGTATTAACCCATTTAACAGTTAGTCATTCGTAAAAACCAAAAAGGCTTTCACACATTCTCCTCTTTTAGTGCTCCAGAGCCAACAATAAACAGTTAATGAGTGACCATCAGCTTTTTCAAAATGAGAAACAACTGGATTACCGACATTATGTGTCAACATTTCCAGTGAATTTAAACCATTTACTCAATGTGTGAAGAAATGTTCCGCTGCCAAGCAGTGTTTCCACCATGTCGACACTCGCATGATGGATCAAAACCAAGGCTCCCACTGACACTGCAGGGGTGGAAAAGGAGCTGATTAATAGAGGGAAGTAACCCTTTGCGTCAAGTTTCCATGCATAGAAACTAAACCAGTCATGAAGTGTTTGGGTTTTTTTTTCCAACCTTGGACTTATTAGTTTGAATGACAGTAATGACGGAAAATTACATTCAATTAACCACTTCCCATTAAATTTTTTTTTTTTTACTCTGCGATGCAGTTGACGTGATACAACATTTCAAATGGATTCATGAAATGTAACAATTGGGCTTTGTTCACAT